GAGTAAATAAAAGATTTATTAAGAGTACATACATCAAAAGAATACGGAATATTGTTTATCTGCTTACCACCAGTGATTTCCTTAAATTATTATTATTATTGTTCCCTTGGGTTCCTAGTGGAACATAGGGCTTCAACTGCACGTCTCCACTTGCTTCTGTCTTGTGCTGTACTTTTCACTTGCGTCCATGTTATTCCATACTGTTTCATCTCCTCCTCACACGATCTCCTCCAGGTCACCCTTGCACTGACGTCCCACTCGCCGCTTCCCTTTCGGGTTCCACTCGAACACTGGCCTGACGCGCGATGTCACTCAACGGCCTCCTCAGCGAGTGTCCAATCGATCTCCACTTCCTCCTGCATATTTGTCGGGCGATTGGTTCCTGTTTCGTTTGTTCCCATAGCTTCTTGTTTGTGATTCTTTCCGGCCATCTAATCTTCAGTATGGAGCGAAGACAGTTGTTGATAGAGGTCTCCAACAGGCTGTTGGAAATATTCTTTGTGACCCGCCGCCAAGTTTCTGATCCGTATAGAAGAACTGACTGACTTGACGTTTGTATTGAAAATCCGGATTTTGTTGTTGATGCAGGCTGAGTGACGAAGATTTCCAGATTGGTTTCAGGTTGATGAATGTGTTTCTCGCCTTCCCGATTCTCGATTTGACATCTTCGTCCGTTCCTCCTGTAGTTGAGACAAAGCTCCATAGATAAGTGAATGAAGTTACCTCTTTCAAATCCCTCCCGTTGATGGTGATTGGCACTGGATGTTGCTGCTTCACGTCGGTTCAGGATATCCCTGTCTTCTCGTTTCCCACTGTCTGACGCATAATCCAGTCCACCACAATTAGGAATATCATTGGTGATAATAAGCACCCTTGTCTGACTCCTGTGTTTAATCCAAACGCTTCGCTGAGCTTTCCGTTGTGGATCACTTGACATGTGCCGTTGTTGTATAGCTGTTGAATAAGGTTGATGAATATTTGGGGTACGCCGTAGTACTCGAGTAATTTCCAAATTACTTCGCGGTCAACGCTGTCGAAGGCCTTCTCAAAGTCTATGAAGTTGAGGTAGAGATTTGATTCCCATTCCATGCTTTGTTCGATGATGATTCGTAGAGTTGCAATTTGGTCAGAACATGATTTGCCTTTCCTGAATCCAGCTTGTTCTGGTCGGAGTTCTGTATCCAGTGCGTCCTTGATTCTCTCCAGGATGATGCGACTCAGGATTTTACTTGGCGTCGACAGGAGCATGATTCCTCGCCAGTTCTTGCAGAGTCCCAGGTCGCCTTTCTTTGGTAGTTTCACCAGGTAACCTTTCCTCCAGTCAGTGGGCACCTTCCCCTCTTTCCAGATCTTTTGCAATAATGGAGTCAGCATACCTGCCGTCGTTTCTGGGTCCGCTTTCAGTGCTTCCGGGGGTATTCCATCTGGTCCAGTTGCTTTTCCAGCTTTCAAAAGCTTGATTGCATTCATGACTTCAGTTTTCGTTGGAGGATTGGTGTCAACTTGCAGTTGTGTACGTGCTGTTGTTGGTATTACTGGACGGGTTGTAGGTGGTGGTCGATTCAAGAGTCCTTTGAAGTGGTCCGCCCATTGTTTGATCTGTCTTTCTTCTTTGGTAATTGGGTTCCCTTGGCTGTCTTTTATAGGTTTCACTTGTGTTGATCTCTTCCCGGATAGAGACTTGGTTATCTGATATAGTGTCCTCAGGTCCCTCTTGCCTGCTGCCTTCTCAGCTTCAGTAGCCAGGTTGTCGTAGAATTGTCTTTTGTCCTTCCTGGCACTCTTCTTCACTTCTTTGTCCAGTGCTGTGTAAGTTGAGTTCAGCGTCTCTTTCTCTTGTCCATCTTTGCATTGAATCATTTTCTCTTTCACTTTTCTCCTCTCCTCTATTAGTTTCCAAGTGTCTGTTGAGAGCCATTCCTTGTCTTGTTTCTTCTTTCTTCCTAAAACCGTTGAGCACGTTTCGTTGAAAATTACCTTCAGAGAGTTCCAATGGTCTTCCACGGATGATTCCTCAGTGGTGCCACGTAGTGTTTCCTGCTTTGCTCTGACAGTTGCAGTGAAAGTGTCCTTTGTGGTTGTGTCTTTCAGTTTTTGCGTGTTGAACTTGCATTGTGGCCTATCCCCAGGTATCCTCGAGGCTTTCAGCTTCACCTTGAAAGTCCCTTGTACTAGATAGTGGTCTGAACCCACATCTGCTCCTCTCCTCGTCCTTGTGTCCAGTAGGCTCCGTCTCCACTTCCTTGAGATCGAAATGAAGTCTATCTGGTTTTTGGTGTGTCCATCTGGTGAAATCCATGTTGCCTTGTGTATATCCCTGTGTTTGAACACACTGCCACCAATCACCAAATTATTGAAGGCGCAGAAGTCTGAGAAGAGTTCGCCATTTTCGTTCATTTCACCGAGGGCCTTACGACCCATGGTGAGTTCTCTTCCTGTATTGTCTCCTCCCAGTTTCGCATTCATGTCACCCACCAGGATTTTGTTATCGCTCTTTGGGACGTTGTCCATTACTGTTTGTAGTTGACTGAAGAAAAACTCCTTCTTCTCATGTTCTGAGGCATTTGTAGGCGCGTAGCATTGAATGATTTTAACCTTCCTTCCTTTTGAGTTGAACCTGGCTGTCATTATCCTGGAGGAGATTGGTTCCCACTGCATGAGAGCTTTGTCTGCTGTTGATGACATCATGATGGCTACTCCCTCGGTGTGCTCATGATTGTCCTCTGGGTGACCGGAGTAGATTATTGTCTCTCCAGTTGATAGTTGGCTCCTTCCACATCCGTTCCATCTGCTCTCGCAGATTCCCAACACTTCTATTTTATATCTCCTCATTTCTGCGGCTACCTGAGTAGCCTTCCCAGCTTCGTACATTGTACGAACATTCCACGTCCCCATCCTTATTTTTGCTTTCATCGAAAGAAGGCACATCGGCTGACTGGCTTCCCGAAGGCTTTCACCAACCCGCGTCATTTCACTTCCCCGATTCCAGCGAAAAATAAGGTCACTATTTGTAATTTTAGAATTTTGAATATATTTGTGCGTTGAAGTTTTAGTAGCAATTTGGTTAAGTTTTGGGGGTGGAGTTGCTAGCACCACACCCCAACCCTCCCTCTTTATCCGGGCTTGGGACCGGCTAGAATACTAGTGACCTAGTAATCTAGGCGAGGTTGATTTCCTTAAATAGTTTCCACATATTAGAAGCATTTTCGCAGGATAGGAATTTCTGGTTATATATTACATTCAACCTCTGCATTTCAGACTTGATTAAGAAGTTAGTTCTTTTTACACCACTTTTTTCTTTCATTTTATATAGTTTTTCCTTCCCTCTACGAAGCTTTTTCAGTTGAGGGGAAGAGAAACGGTCAAATTTGACGAATAGTGTTTCTTTTTGGACAGCAGATTTCAAAACAGAATTTCAGATAAGATGTAATATAAGAGATAGTGTCACCAAGTGAATCATCATTAAACAGATCCCATCTTGTGTCACTGAGCATGTTTCTAAGATGATGTAAGTTCTCATTTGAACAACATCTGTGAACAACTTTCTTGGACAAGTTAGAGAAGGCTTTTTTGTGTAACTTTCCGTAAACTTTGGGTAGAACTCGTACAATACAGTGATCAGAATTGAAGAGCGGAGCTCTTTTAAGAGCTTCGTATATTCCAGAATCATTTATAAATACTAAATCAAGTGAAGAGTCTTGTCGAGCTGGGAAGTTAACCACATTTTCATGACCCAGCAATGTAATAAAACTGTAGTCAGAATTATTGAAGTCACCAGTCACTACAGACAAGGAGTTACCAAACGAAGCAGCGGCAAAAATAGTGAATTCATCAGCGAAGATCGGTAGTTCTGAGGGACTGCAAGAAGGTGTGACAAAAATGCAGTTATACTTAGATAAGTGTCTAGGTCGGCATTTAACAGTTATACAATCAATATTGTCATTTGAGAATTTGAAGTAGACGTTGTTGGCAGTAGACCACTGAGAATTACTAAAAGTGGTAACACCTCCACCTCTCTTCTTCTTTGAGCTGCATCGGTCTTGTCTGTACATTGTGAAATCACGTAAAGAGACTAAATTATCGTCATATGAATCGTGCAGCCAAGTTTCTTGCAGAGTAATTACAGCAGTATTACAATATACATTTGAGTATAATAGAGAATGCAAGCAAATAATCTTGTTTGGTAGAGATCTGCAACTTGTGGTCATAATCACAGGGACAGTCATCAAATGCATTGGAGTACGCTTTAAAGCACGTTGCCACCCATCATGAAGCTTTTTCTTAAGTTTGTTAGAAACTAGTAAATCAGCCGGTTGGAAACGTTTAAATAACCGCGAGAGTAAACAATACGATAAGAACGCATAATTGAATGATTAAAATAAAATAAATCCCAGGAAAAAGATGCAATATGTAGGATGGAAATTTTCGTAGCCCAAGATTTACGCAGGCCGCCAGGTATTCTTCATCTTCAGCGTCATCATCTCATCCACCACCTACTCCTCAAATTCAACATCATCATTTTCGTCACCACCATCATGATCGTCATCATGAAGATGAATGATTTGACATCATCGAAGTGTACAAACTCAGTGAGTATTCGATTCGTATTGTTGATTAACAAGTGACAAGATTACTGACAATGTTGTATCAATCAGCGATCCGAATCGACCTGACTGCTTGATAGACAGAGAGATAGCTAGATAGACAGCTGGATAGAGAGACAGCTAGTTAGACAGCTAGCTAGATAGATATATGGAATGAAGATATTGACAATGTTTTGTGTCGCGTATATATTTCAGCTGAACCTGTGAGCACAACGACAGTGATGGCGACAGAAGCGGCGAACACTACAATGCACAGCTCAACAACAAGTGAGTCAGTTGTTCATGGCCAACATATTTCCATGTATGTATATATATTTGATTGTGTGTGTGTGTTTGTGTGTGTGGATTTGTTATTCCGGGAGAGAGAGAGAGAGATGGCGACAGAATCGGCGAACACTACAATGCACAGCTCAACAACAAGTACGTCGTTTGTCGTTGTTGATATATATATATATCAATTGGTATATTTTTGTGTGTGCATAATAAATATACCTGAACTGAGGGAGAGGGAGTGAGAGAATGACAACCACTATTACATGCCTTACTTTACTCATGAGGTTTTCACCTTTTCTTCTTTTTTTACTGCAGTTAAGACTGAAACGACGGCAGTAGCAACAACAGCGCAGTCGGTATTCACCACAGTCGAAACCACTACAGGTGAGTTTCCTTTCAAAGTTTGTGATTTCTTTGATGCTCGTGCATTGTTTCGCTGTTGGTTTCTTCTTCTCATGACACTTTCAGCTGATCCTCTCCCTCTTATTTCTGTCAATGTAATTTCCCCTTCTTGCCTTTCTTCAATAAACTAAATAGATAGGCAAGTGGTTATATTTGACTCGTGATAGTGGGTGATTAATTGTTATGGATAATACCGTAGTGCAGAATCGACAAATCGTCCAAACAGCAAACAACAGCAGACATGCAACGAGTCATCAGGTTACAAAGAATATATCTTCGAGAGACCAGCAACTGTGCTTTGACTTGTTGTGGAATGAACTGCTTAGCTTGTTTATACGTTAACAAAGAGGACAAAACAAATACAAATATGTATGCATGTAGAGACGAATTCAGTCCACACAATTTAAAATACATATAAAATACAGTTGCTTGGTGTGTTATAATTGTCGCAAAATACACAAGTAAAGACGTATAGAATTGTAGTAATGAAGTATTCATTTTTTGGCACACAGTTGCTCACTCCACTTGAGGAGAGTATGCCAACAGCCCGAGGGTACTTATGGAGAGAAAAGGAGATTGAAGCAAAGGATCCGAATGTGAATGTACGGATCAAGTACGATCCAGAGATGTTTGGTTATAGTGGAAAGCAAGTAGCTAGACAGGGAAGTTGTGTCTCCCGTACTGCGCGCTGAACCAGGTCGTGTCTTTGTTCAATCTCAATTAACAACCATGATGTGCAGTAAATTCATTATTTTTACTATTTTATAATGGACGTATAATTTGATATTCCTCGGTCTCAACAGACTAGGTGACCTCCCAATTCACAATATTTTGTAGCAATAAATCCCGCTCTGCTAGATCTCATGCGTTCAGCTTTCAAGTGATTGTGACCGTTCTAAGATAGTGTTTCGAGACTGACACTTGATATTCAATCTGATTCTCATTAGTGACTAGCTCCATGCAGCAAGTTAGCCGGGGTTCCAGTGAGAAGTCGTGATCAGCTGGGTCGACCAAGTCAAGTGAGAGAACGGTTGCTCACCCATGATATTGTATGCAGGTTAAGCCATATATCGCAAATTGGTGGAAGTCGGAATTCATGGTCATTGGGTGGAGTCCTAGTGGCTTGATGGTTGAGTATCTCATCTTATTGTGAGAACATCCTGCACTCGTAAGCCAGTGGGTGCGTCCTCCTCAAGAGTCCCAAACGAGGGTGGAACAGTACCCAGTACTCCAAAGGTTCTGCAACTGATGTCTTGTCGTGATGGAAATTGTAACCAGTACTAGTGAATCGCAAGTAACTATGATAGATGTCGCGAGTCCCACTCTGTGATACAGTTTGTCCTTGCTTAGGCAAATCGCCCGTGACGCATTTATTCCTCTCAAACAAAGCACTCTCCAGTTTGTCATACCGGTCATATTTCCGTGAATGTATTGACATCACACACACGCACACACACACACAATAAAAACTCCACTCATCTTGATTAAGCGTAGACATAACAGTGAATTTCTGCCTTCTTCTCAATTAACTACATTTAACACGTCTACATTTATTTCTCTTTCATTGTGCAATTACTCCACGGATTGGATGAACACGTTGTTCAAGGTGCGACTGTGCAGACGGTTACTTTGGGTAAGTCGGAGGGCGAGTGTATTTCCCTTGCATTACAGTTGATAAGTAGACATTATCACTCCATTTATTTGTAATGTTGTCTGGCTAGTTGATGGAGGTAAGTAGACATGGAGACTGTTGACGAGTTCACCAACCTTCGAGGCGCCAGCCTATCCCCAACCACATTCAATGCATACTGGATTACTCGAATTTGTGACTTTGAGAAGTGTAAAGCCATCTGTGAGAGATGGCGTTAGATGGCGTTCGTGAGGTTCGCCTACATAATTGTAGATATTGGAGGAGATGTAATACTCTGAAAGCCACCTGATCGCTGTATGATGGAGTCTTGATGTGTTGAGGGAAACACGAAAAATGTGTCTACTTATGCAAGAGATGAGTGACTGCATTGGAGATCTTTCTTTCACCGAGGATCTTTCACCTACCATTCAGATAGATTCGATGATTCGACAGTTCCTGGGTACTTGTATTGCGATGCTGTGGAAGGGCGAAGCTCGCCGCTGAACCAAGGCATGTCACAAACTTTAGAGTGAGTTGTGCGTTCATTTCGCTGACAAGTCAGGGTGGTTTAGATTTTGTGAACCGACTTGTTGAGATGTTGGATAGAAGTCGATGGACAAGTAGTCGAAGTATGCTCAGTTGATTGGCATGTCAGAATTTCGGGAAATCATTTGGAATCCAACGTGTCACTGTGTAGTGAGACAATGGTCGAGTCTACACGGCATCTGAGGCATCAGTGAGATAGGGAAATTGGGCAGTGGAAGTGAGAAAGGCTGGGGTCAACGATGAATTTTGACCCTTAGTAAGACAGTTTGTTTTATTTATAGAAGCTTATTAATTTGTACTCACTCATGACAAGAAAGTGATTCTACCCCTCACAATGATTCACTTCTCTCCTAGTGATCTCATCACCGTTGGTCAAAGAGAATAAGTCATTGGAGTGGAGTGACAGTCTTCTGGATCCGACTTCAGCCTTGTATCAGAAATACTCCACAGAAGTGTGTGATCTGGTAAGATTCTTCTCAGTTTTCCAATCAAATTTACGTGCAAGTCATTCATTTTCAAGTTGTTTATCAAATCGTTTAACACAGCTTGATTTAAGTTTCCTCCAAGTTGAATTGTTGTGAATTAGGAATTCGCAATGAACTATGAATATACATGTATACAGATAAATAAATATATATATATATATGAAACTGACTTGAATATTCGTTCTTCGACGGGTATTCAACAACGGCTTTAAATGGAATATTTCGGCCAGTAGTATGTTCTCTCAGGTTAGCGTGTGCACACGACCAATTCAACGAACATGGAATCTGTCAGATCATCACTGACTTCGTTTGTCTCGAACCTAGTGTAGATTATCCATACTGCAGCCTGATTTCACACAGTAGCTTCGTGCTCATTCTTCTTCGTCTTCTTCTTCTTATCAGTATTATTGTCATCAGTGGGAATCGATTAGAAGCTGAGTTGTAAATGCCTAGATAACCAGTCGAACACGACTTATTGACAGTGATGTGTGGCGCAAATTCTCTGATCTGTGTAGAGTGGGGGTGTTGATTGCATGCAGTTTTCCGAAATTGATCTTAGTGGAGTGAATCAGAGACGATAGGCAAACAGAGACCAGTCAGCTTTGTATTGAAGGCTCGACTGAGTACGATGGGGATGAATTTGATAAGATTGGTGGTGATGACAGAGTTGTCACCTGTGTCATTGTTTCGCCATCTCACTAGCATTCTGAGTAAACCGAAGTGACTATACTGCGACTACCTAGTGGAACCTGGCATGCTCTCATCATCCTGGTGTTTGATGTTCGTTCCACAGTACAGAATTCACTGGGACAACATTCTATGTAGATAGGATAACTGTCCTAGTTGAGTCACACTGGAAAGCAAAGTTTCTGGTCGCTACTAGATGCACAGTCGCACAACACGATTCGGTGTGCCCCTAACGCCTACGACACAAAACCTCATATTTACTGGCACTAAGTCACAGTTTCACCATGCAACATGTCCACTTAAATGTATCAATCAGCTATTGATCTTCTTCACCTCCTTCTTCCTCTCAATCTACATTAGCTCATCAAAAGCATGACAACAGCTGAAATCGAAGGGCTACTCAACGTCACTTGCACCGTGATTGGCTTTGAACGTGGATCAGTGATTGGAAACGCGGTATTAACTATCCAACATGACAATTCCAGTGAGAACTTCTCAACAAGCAGTGTGGCGGAACAGACTGTTCTCACCGCGATTGTCCAATACACAGAAGAACTAGTTACCAATCGTACTGATCAGGTGTTTTTTGGTACAGCGAGCAACATTACGATAGAAGGTAATATATTTATACTTCGATTCCACTTTCTCACTTTCCTTTTCTTTCATTTGATGATCTCATTTATTGTGTTTCTTCGTGCACGAATTTCTCTCCTTTTGTCTAACTTCGTCTTCTGTCGTGTGTGTTTCACGACGACTGATAACGAACATGTGGAGTGGGCTGTCTGGGAATTTTTCGAGAGTTTGTTGGCAGGGTCTTGATTTAATATAGGTTTGTTGACTGGCGGACATCAGTTAGATGACCTTCGGAGAACTCAAGACTACTGAACGCCTGCCTCGTCCCCGTTTTTATCAATTCAACAGGATTCACCTATCAGGATTTGAAACCAAGACTCACAGGTGACATGACGAAATCGTAGAAATTTATGCAAACTTGTCCCAAATGGTGAAGAATAGCACCAACGGCAGATAGTCTTATCCGCCAGTAACTGTTCTCTCAGGAGAAATGATTGACGTAGTTGACGGAGAATACTTACTAGAAATTCACTTTGTCTCCTACATGCAGTTAGTAGATGTTGAGCATACGAATGAACACGAAGCGCTCATACGCATGTATGAGAGAACAAATGAAAGTAAAAATTATTCAGTGGAGTCCCAATGGAAATCAACGTGAAGCCTGAAAACATCCAGAAATTGAGACTTATAAAATTTTGTGAGATAGTCTATCAATAATCAGCGAAGTGTGCATGGAAAAGAAAAATAAAGCAGTGTAAAAAGTTAAGAGAAAGTAATTCACAAAGGAGCGGAGGTGTTTGAAGTGCATATAGGAGAAAGACAACCTGGCTGCCTATTATCACCGATGATATTTTTAATTGTGATGGACTCTAATATGCGTCAGTGTGTGGGTAGTGAGGAGGCAGGAATACGCTCGATCACCGATAAGAAGAGTCTAGAAGATATGGAATTCACGCGTGGATAGTTAATGTCTAGTGTAACACAAACTCGAAGGCTTGCAGGCGAAAACCAACAAACTGGGAGAAGAAGAAGGCAGCAGCGAAGACAGAACTCCAGGTGAACATAATGAAGACAGAGGTGATGAAGATAACCAACCAACCAACAGTAACAGCAATAACAACAACAACCAGCACCAATCACCATCAATGGGAGAGATTCAACGGAGGTTACTTCCTTCACTTATCCAGCCAGGAAGCATCGTTTCAACCACAGGCACACTGCACGCATGAAGATGTCAAAGTCAGTCAGCCAGCCAACCAGCCAGAATCGGAAAGGCAAGACACACCTTCATCAACCTGGAACTAATTTGGAAATCTTCTGCTGTCACCCCACAGTATATAGAACAAGATTCGAATTTTCAACACAAATGTCACGTCGGTCCTTCTATACGGGTCATAAACTTGCACTGAGTGTGAGTCACTGAAAGGACGTCCAACAGCCTGCTGCAGACGTTCATCGACAGCTGCCTTCACTGGCTCCATCCTGAAGATCAAATGGCCAGACAGCAAGAATTTGTGACAAGAAACTCTATCTGGGAACAAACCAACCAAGACCCGACCGCTCAACAAATATGAAGGAGAAAATGGAGATGGATAGATGGGGATTACATTGAGGACACCGTTGAATGACATCGCGCGCAATACAGGCCATCGCTCTAGTGGAATCCAAATGGGAAGCAACGATTGGGTTGTTGGTGCGTGGGTGATATGGAGGAGATCGTGTGAGAAAGAGACGAGAGATCATGAGCAACCATGGGCACAAGTGAAGAGGATGGGAGAAAAAAGATGTGTTGTAGAAGCCCTACGTTCCACTGGGAACCCAAGAGAAAAATAATAAGAGAATAAGTCACAAACGAAAGCTAGTAACCACCAGCATAATCGAAGTTTGAAAACAAAAGCGAAAATGGAAGATATCAGAAATGAAAATTCCATGAAATATGAAATTCCAAAAAATAGGCTTAAATCGAAAAAAACACATAGCAAAAATATTCCAAATGTAAATTCTATGCATCTGATAGAATGAAGATATTGACAATGTTTTGTGTCGCGTATATATATATTTCAGCTGTACCTGAAATCATAACGACAGTGATGGCGACAGAAGCGGCGAACACTACAATGCGTAGCTCAACAACAAGTGAGTTATATGTATATATATAATTTTGAATTTATTTTGATTAATTTTGTTAAATTTACAACTGTGAATTTCATTCAAGGTAGCTTGTGTCAAGAGATTGAATTAATTGAGACCACACCACACTTTATGATATTTGTCAAAGCTACTTGATTCTAATTTTTTGAGAATTTAGTGCTGCACCTTTGTGCTGACTTCTGACTGAATTAATCTGTTGTCTCACTATGTACTAATCATGAATTGGACTCAGGAATGAGCAAGAACAGAAACAAGTGTAGTTGTAATATTGTATTATCAAAATAATTGAGTTCTAAGCAGCCGATCAGGCAGATAGACAGGTAGGTAGGCAGGCAGATAGATAGATGGATAGATAGATAGATGGATAGATAGACAGACAGACAGACAGACAGATAGATAGATAGACAGACAGACAGACAGATAGATAGACAGACAGACAGACTGTAGTAGTGTGGTGGTGTGTTACAAACAATGTATGCCAACCGAATATTATTCTCACATATTCCTACAGTTCAATTCGGTATCAGCAACAGAATTCGATATATGCATTTGAACATTGTATTTGATGTTAGAGGTAGAATACTTTTCCCACGGTTATATACTGCATAATCAACAGAATACTAAGTATACTTGAACATTCTATATGATGTTGTTTGATGTAAGCGGAAATCACATGCTCGGTGATTGGTAGGTTGACGCACATAAACTGTAGATATTATATATATATAAACAGCGGTTTGAATAATGAAAAATATACTTTGACTTCCGTGTCTTGCCTTCTGTTGTTACAGTAGTAGTAGTAGTAGTAGTAGTAGTAGTAGTAGTAGTAGTAGTAGTAGTAGTAGTAGTAGTAGTAGTAGTAGTAGTAGTAGTAGTAGTAGTAGTAGTAGTAGTAGTAGTAGTAGTAGTAGTAGTAGTAGTAGTAGTAGTAGTAGTAGTAGTAGTAGTAGTAGTAGTAGTAGTAGTAGTAGTAGTAGTAGTAGTAGTAGTAGTAGTAGTAGTAGTAGTAGTAGTAGTAGTAGTAGTAGTAGTAGTAGTAGTAGTAGTAGTAGTAGTAGTAGTAGTAGTAGTAGTAGTAGTAGTAGTAGTAGTAGTAGTAGTAGTAGTAGTAGTAGTAGTAGTAGTAGTAGTAGTAGTAGTAGTAGTAGTAGTAGTAGTAGTAGTAGTAGTAGTAGTAGTAGTAGTAGTAGTAGTAGTAGTAGTAGTAGTAGTAGTAGTAGTAGTAGTAGTAGTAGTAGTAGTAGTAGTAGTAGTAGTAGTAGTAGTAGTAGTAGTAGTAGTAGTAGTAGTAGTAGTAGTAGTAGTAGTAGTAGTAGTAGTAGTAGTAGTAGTAGTAGTAGTAGTAATTGTTGTTGTTGTATACTATGTGTAAACTGGCAAAGTAATTCGCTTGTGTGTTCATGAAGCAAACTAAAGCTAACAGTAAGTACTATGAATTCATGGTCAGCTAAACAAACAGAAGGAGAATAATCGACTGGGACACCATGTTAACCTGTGGGCTAGATTGGAAGCAAAACTGCAAGCCCACATGAAGCATTGTTTCACAAAAATATAAATAAAGTGTGTTGAGTAAGAATGTCTAGGAATCAACACATCTTGCACCACCCGACATGGAAAAGAATTCAAGTTGTGACGTGTATTAGCCAAGATTTTATTGCTTATCTTATGCAGCTGTACAAATACATTGAGTCATCTTAAATAAGCATTTAGTCAAGGCACCTTGTATTTCAATGGGCAAATCTGTGGAATTTTAAATGCTGTCGAAGAAGTTTTTCTATCGGTTGATCACTTTATCTCATTCAACTCTAAAATATGCGCCAAACATATGAGCTGATTGCAACTTCCTTCCTCAGATGTGAGGTTGATTTGACTTTGTTCAGAGTTAATTGTAAGTAGTAGACGTGTCTCACCTTCATACTTGTGGCAAATTACTATGAAATCGTCAACATATATATTGTAAAAAGCACTTCAGCGATCGAATCACGCTCAATATTTTAATAGTGAAATCAGTATACATCAACCAATAATGAAGACTGTATATATATGTAGTCCATTCTCTCGTTGGAAGTACTCTCCATATAAACTGAAATGATATTCACCACAACGTGACAATAATGATAGTAGTCTTTAAAATCTTTCAAGCATATGTAATCACAAGAAATGTTACCAGTCTTTATTGGAGATCACATTGGTAAATAAAATGTTTACAATGAATCAGAACATTTCTTTGTACTTGATGTTCATATCATGGCAGTCAACAGGTTGAAGAGTATCTTTCAAATAGAACCTACACAGTTCATTCCAATTCAAGTTTGAAGTGTTTTCTAACAACTTTGTCAATCTAAATATGAGAGGATGATTTCGATAAAATTGAGTGTAACGAATTTTATTTTATTTTCTAATTTTCATTTTGGAAATCAGATCCCATGAGTTTCAAAGGCTTAAACTCTTCTTTATCACTAAAATTCATGCGAGGAAGCATTATTTAACTAGATTTTACTTTCCCTCTTAATTTTGTAATGCCATCACATGGGAAACCTCTCATGAAAATGATTTCACTGGCAATAATGGATAATGTGTTGGCTCTCAGTGATTCGATTGGCAATAGGTTCGATTACGAGTTGACATCAGTAAGAAAAGCATTGGAAAACCTGAAAGTACTTCACAACTATCCAGCAGTACACACTTACTGGATATTGTACAACGTTTAAGGTGTGTAATCACATTTATTCATTACAACTAAATCTGAGTCTTTGTTCGCCAAGTAAAATCCTGAGTCGCATCATCCTGGAGAGAATAAAGGACGCACTGGATACAGAACTCCGACCAGAACAAGCTGGATTCAGGAAAGGCAAATCATGTTCTGATCAAATTGCAACTCTACGCATCATCATCGAACAAAGCATGGGGTGGTAATCAAACATCTACCTCAACTTTATAGACTTTGAGAAGGCCTTCGACAGCGTTGACCGCGAAGTAATTTGGGAACTACTCAAGTACTACGGTGTACCCCAAATATTCATCAACTTTATTCAACAGCTGTACGACAACGGCACATGTCAAGTGATCCACAACGGAAAACTCAGCGAAGCGTTTGGAGTAAACACAGGAGTCAGACAAGGGTGCTTGTTATCACCAATGATATTCCTAATTGTGGTGGACTGGATTATGCGTCAGACAGTGGGAACCGAGAAGACAGGGATATCCTGGACCGACGTGAAGAACCTAGAAGACTTGGATTTCGCGCGTGGATGATTTATGTTTGATGTCACACAAAATCGAAGACGTACAAGCGAAAACCGACAAACTGGTCGAAGAAGCAGCAAAGACAGGACTCCAGGTGAATATAGACAAGACGGAGGTCATGAAAATAACCAACCAACAACAGCAGCAACATCCAGTGCCAATCACCATCAACGGGAGGGATTTGAAAGAGGTTACTTCTTTCACTTATCTGGGGAGCATTGTCTCAACCACAGGAGGAACGGATGAAGATGTCAAATCGAGAATCGGGAAGGCGAGAAACACATTCATCTACCTGAAACCAATCTGGGAATCTTCGTCACTCAGCCTGCATCAACAACAAAATCCGGATTTTCAATACAAACGTCAAGTCAGTCAGTTCTTCTATACGGATCAGAAACTTGGCGGCGGGTCACAAAGAATATTTCCAACAGCCTGTTGGAGACCTCTATCAACAACTGTCTTCGTTCTATACTCAAGATCAGATGGCCGGAAAGAATCACCAACAAGAAACTATGGGAACAAACAAAACAAGAACCAATCGCTCAACAAATATGCAGGAGAAAGTGGAGATGGATTGGACACTCGCTGAGGAGGCCGCTGGGTGACATCGCGCGTCAAACCCTCGAGTGGAACCCGAAAGGGGATCGGCGAGTGGGACGTCTCAGGTTGACATGGAGGAGATCGTGTGAAGAGGAGCTGAAACAGTATGGACTAACATGGACGCAGGTGAAAAGTACAGCAGAAGACAGAAGCAAGTTGAGACATGCAGTTGAAGCTCTTTTTTCCACTAGGAACCCAAGGGAACAATAATAATAATAAATCTGATTCTTTGTTAGGTTGCAGGATAATTAGATCAGATCTACTACTGCTACTTAGTTACTTAAGACCTTTGAATTTCCATACGATCACAAAATATTCTTTTGTCTTCGACATGAATTTTGTAATTAGTGCGCAGTATCAACTAATTTAGCTTTCAATCTGTTTGTTCATCTAGAGAGGTAGGAGAGAGGCAGGTAAGAAACTCATTTATTTTACCAATAATAGTGCATGAAGAGAGTCTTCCTTTTTAAGAGTTCAAAATTATCCAGTACAATTTATTGTTACATGACTCATATTGGTATTCCCGATCCTTAACCTAGAGTGGTAGTAGTAGTAGTGTCAATTATTATCCTGCTTATTTCTGAATCCCGCCTATACTTCGTTTCTCTCATTTGACCTCTCATTCTTCACATTTTCATGTGAGAGATATGTGAGTGCGTTACTCAAAATGTATTGCTCGAATCCATCATATTTATTCGGATAAACTCCAACCTTTATTAACGCTACCTAAATTGATTACACAGATCAACTTGTTGAACTTATTGTTTTTGTATAATTTTGTTTTCACTAGCAACCACACAAACAACTACGAAGGCCACTAGCTTAACAAGTAAGTACTCATTCATTTCCGATTGTGAAAATAAAATGTTATGTCGTTGACTAGTGATGCGAAGAGTATATAAATGTATCAGACTGTATAAAGGATTATTCCATAAAATACAAACGAATTGCCATTTCAGACTTGGGCTCTACACGAACCACGAAAGTACAACTCCCTTTTCACGCTGTTCAGTGTGAGTTTACTGGGGTGTACAACCTAATCTAGTTCACAAAGTGATCCTTAGCTCCGAAAAGTAGGAGATTCCTGCATGTGATGCTAGCGATCCCACTCCGTAAAATAATAACCTCATTGCTACTGCATACTTGAGGAATCAAGAAAAGATGAGGGAGATTAGGTTGACCGGTGAAATCCTTTGGCAAGCCAGTCGACCGGTATGTCTCTTCCCGATGAAACCAAACTAAGCTTAAGAACACGAAATATGCACATCATGTTTAAGGCTGTCAAAGCAACCAACACTGCAAAATAAGTGGGATGATATGGCATGATAATGTTAAGAATCTTTGGAAGTAGATGGAATGGAAATGGATTCTCCAAATTGTCAACTGAAAAGTCAATAATTTCCCCCGGTAACCGACACTACAACAGCGAGTTCACTGAAGGTTTGGCTGCCACGATAACATCAACAACATCGACATCTCTTGTGCAGTTAGAATCAATCTCCTCCAAGATTATGAAAGCAAGATTCAACTCAAAAGGATAAAGAGTCACAACAATACTCTGCTAAGCACCTTCCAAGAAAGCACACCCCCTGGAGATGAAGTAGGAATCCTACCGAAATTCTTTATGGCAACATAATCCGAGTGGGAAGGGTGAAAATATCAATGAAACTAATATCAGATAACACAAGAAGAGAATTCATGATGGGTGAAGAAACGTTCGGCGAAGAGAATGAGAACGTAAAACTCATTGTGGAATTGTGCAAGTTTAATAATTTAGCGATTTGAGGCAGCGTATGCAAGGATATCAGTGTGGAGTGGCCAGGTGAGGAGAACTGGAAGGTGTTGGCTGGATGATTGAGTACAGAATTCAACGGACTGGCAGCTGGCGATTCAGCGGCTCCAAGCCGTGTACACTGGAATGTATGGAGACCCGGCAGTGTAGGCGGTGGAGCTGACGAATCCACTACCTCCTACACTACCCACATTGGATGAATAGTCGGGGTAGAATTTATTGACGTATCAGTTCACCGAGGCTGTCCAGACCACATGTCTGGCCAATTAAAACTAGTTAACGCTGCACAACCAATGGACACCAGCGAGATAGCTAAGGTGACTAGACAGCTTTTGAGCACAACGCTAGTTGCAACAGAGCCACCAAAGTTTAACGGGGAGAAAAAGAAGTTTGAAGAGTTACAGCGTGAAGTAGCGGCACTATGAATGTGTGCCAGGAAAGACCGATGTTTTGAACATGGAAAATCAAGACATTGGAGGAGGTACTGCTCAGAAAGATGGAGAAGGCAATGTTTCAGGCAGCATAATATGTGTTCTTTCTCTAAGATCACACTGGAAGTTGTGGGAGCTATTCAGAGAGGGGCCATGTATTCACAAGTTGCGAGTGAATGACCGAGAAGTAATATGTTTAATAAATAGAGGGGCATCAGTCTCCCTAATGCATAGGAATCTATGACGGTGTGTCAAACTGTGTTCATTGACAGTTCAAACGGTAGGTGGATACATGTTAAGCTTTACCAGCATGTCAAACTGTAGCGTTTATATTGGCGACCGTGAAGTAACGTCCCCGTTGATTGTTGTATCCGAGTAATGGAGGGCAATACTTGGCGCTGATTTTCTGCGACAGATTGGTGCTGTGATAAAGATGAAAGATGAGGAGAGAACGCTTTAGCTCCACTACTGCTTCAAAATCCCATGGTTCACGAATTCCAAATTCTGTCATTTAGCAACATAGACCAAATGATTATCCGAAGTCATAGGCCCGTATTTATCCTCGAACTCACCATTACTAGGCATTCTCCATCACACCTAATAACTCTTCAAACTATCGAATTCCAAAATTCCCTGAATCTTTCACTGTAATGTACTAGCGGATAGAACACTACATCTCTGGAAATTAACGCTTAGCCGTGTCATTATTTATCCCTACCAGAAACAAAGCAACAAGCCTTATGGTAGTACCTCGGAACTACTCATGCGATGTCGCCGTTAGCGTAGAAATTAACGCACACAGTTACCTGATATCCTACGAGCATCAAAATATCTCAGTTGTAGTCTTACACTTTCAGACATCCTGAATTTTGAGAGTTCGAGTTTAAGAGCATGGAGAAGACTATCTTTTCGAAATACCGAAGAAGTGAACATTTAGCATGAATTAATTTTCAGCACTTTATGCATTCTACTATGCTACCTAGTATAAGAGTCACCAAGAAGTCAACCTTGACTAGTATTCTTCGCCAGAATTCATACTACCAATGACACCAGTAATATTCACATATATTACTGCCGAGTTTATGAAGTATTTTGTAACGGGTATTTTTGCATACTTCATAGTCGTTCAACTGTAAATGTGTCTTTTGAAACTCGAAATCAACCCTTCAGAAATATCAAAATATACTAACTGCACATTTTATTTATGTTACGTGGTTGGAAGCAATCAGCAAGAGCTGTGTCTAGGTTTCATGCCTGTTGATAGTCGTCTGCAGAGCGTATCTGAAGTCCTGAAGGAATTCATGTCACCTCTGAGATTTGAACCTGAGTCACTCATTGCTACATTCAGAAAAGTTACCATAGAGCTATTTAGGCACGTGACTGACCTCCTGTAGCATTATAATGGGTACTGACAAGTGCCAACAAGCACGTAAAATAAAGCCCAAGGTTTTCTGTTGATTGCCTGCAACTATCAAACATCAAATCACAGTACACCACGATGGCGAGCCACCTACCTTGCTGATCACATTGCAAATTTGACTGACGCATTTCATTTTGCACTAAACCAAGGACTCGATGCGTAAGGCTGTCTACTTCCAAGTGACCAATCAATAAACCAAGGCAGTAAATACCAGATTCATATTATTGACGCTTAAAGTTAACATGAAGTTCCACAGAGTCGTTTAAATTCATTCCAATTCAACAATAAGGAGTGATTCACTCATTCATCAAACAGTATTACAAAGTTTGATTGGTTTCAATTCCCATCTCTTTATCGTCACTACGCTTCGACCAAAGTAATAATTCACTTAGAACTCACAAAAATTATGCAATTGTATTTTCCGATCTTTTTTCCTGTGTATCCTATGCGCTTCTCTCTAAATATTGATAATTCTATTTCAGGTAAGATTGACCTCTCAATACGCGTAGAACTACGCAGGGGGAATAAGTCATTATTATGGGATCCTGTATTGACCAATAATATATCTGCTGTTTATAATGCCACTTCAGAGAGAACATGTGATTTAGTAAGTAGTTAATTATTCCTTGGTTTATTTTTCCACCAATAGACCTTGTTTATACGCATAAATTCCTCTCATAAATTTTCCGAGATAGAATTTCCTTGATCTACACTTTTTAGAGTAATATGCAGCACTCATAATGTCCTATCACTTGAATTCTCCAACACGAGTAACAATGATATTTTTCCCCTTTCGGTTCAGGGGCTTCTTTTTAAAGTCATAAACTATTTAAATGTCCCAAATAGGATGAAATGAGCATCTTGGATTCCACTGCTAGTCACCATCCACAAATTGCATTCTAATTAAATGCCCAGACATTGTCGAACCATCTGCACAAGAAGCCGACATGTCAACCTAAGACCGAGCACTTCAGTTCAATCAATCGATGGAAAATCTAAAATTCAATTAAATTAATATGACCCGTTGCACAAGAGGTGGCTCTCGTGGCCTAAGTAGTCTAGTGGATAACGCTTTGGCGTTTGAAACTATGGGCACTGGGTTTGAGTCTCGATGGGAACATCACCACTCACTGGGAAATTTAGGTTCATCCAGCCAACGAGTCTCAAATAGGACGAAATGCGCATCCTGAATTCCACTGCTAGTCATCATCCACAAATTGCATTAGTTGAACTGCATAACTTGTAAAAGAAAATACTAGACTGATTGGAAGATTTCATCATGAGCCAACGCCAGTTAGAGAACCTTTGGAAAACCAGCTAGGAGTACTGGACAGCTATTTCATCAGCCTAGTTTAGGACTCTTCATCAGTACGCACCCACCAAAGGGGTTCGAACCCAGGAACTTCCGGTTACAAGGCCACCGAGCTTGTAGGCCATTAAGCCACTAGGACACGCACGATCCAGTGGCCAGTCCGTGAATTCTAACTTCTGACAATTCATGATATGGCGCGACCACTTCACAATGTCTTCTTCGATGAGTTACTGCTTCGCCTTCAACCTGCTGCAACCTACTAGTCACGGCTTTCCACTAGAACACCAGGTCACTGTCTGAATAGAGCCAGTCGCTAGTGAGCATCAGATCGATTTTCAAGTATTGGTTTTTGTGGGGATTGTGTTAGATTGGTTGGAGGGTTTCATCACGAGCTGACAATCGTTAGAGAACCACTGGAAAACCAGCTGGGGGTTCTGAACAGGACGAAGCAGCTGTCCAGTACTTCCGCGTGGTTTTCCAATGATTCTCAAACTAATGTCAGCTCGTGATGAAACCCTCCAACTAATCAAACAAAATCCCTACAAAACCAATACTTGAAAATGCTAGATTAGTGAAACAGCTAACCCATACAACAGAAATATTCTCTGATTTCAAATTGTAAGAACATATTCACTTCGAATAGATCCAGGTAACCACTAATTTGACTGATGCTTTGCTGATGTCTATTCTCTAATTATAATCATTACTACGATTACTAGAGAACACTTAACAAAATATATCAGGACGGGTGCTGTTTTTACATAAATAATCAATCATTTTCACCATACAAACCTACATCATTTTTATACAGCCATGACATCGAGACGTTTAGACAATTCACTTCAGTGAATTGGTTGTGTCTGTCCTCACTGTTCACACGCTCGCTTCCAAATCGTCAAAATAAAGATCTTTTAAAAATAAAACTACTTTCATGTGGCTAAGGTGAATCTTCAGATATTGTAACTGTCACTTTAATATTTTTGAACCGATCAACTAGGTTTCCATCCATCCTCCTCAACATTTATTATCACTGTTAGAATGTTCAAATGAAAGCTTGTTCCATGTGACTGTGGATATCACTTCGATATTCTGTAGTATCTGCCGTACTTCTTTCAACCAGAGTCATCTTAATACGTTTGAAATGCGATGGAATATATATTCTTATAGGCTGGATGGAGGGATGGATATCTTCTTGTTCCGTGTGATTTTATTCACACTATGTTTACTTGATGGAGAATCGCATTGATCAATATTACTCACTCCATTTGTGGTTGTGAACAAAATGGAATAATGTTAACCACCATAAAAATAACCATCATCAATATTTTGATTTAATGACACTTGCAAATAATTTTGAAATGAAAATTTTCATTGAATCTCATAACAACTGCCGCCTTTTTCTTTTATCTTCTGTGCATTTATTACAGATAAAAGCTGCTGCTCGGTTCACTACATCACTAAAATTTGAAATAACCTTCTGTAATATTCTACGATTTTATCCCGGCTCTATACTAGCTGAAGCAATAATCACTGTGAACTCTACAGATAATAATGTCAGTCAAACACAAATACTTCAGGCAATTCAAAACGGTGCACAATTATATCTAATGAATCAAACGAATAATATGGCACTAGATTCTAGCCAAATAATGTCAATTGTGTGTACGTATACATCACTTATGTTTTTGCAATGCATTGTAAAAATTTATCTTTATCCTTGAGTAAATTTGTCACTCTAGAGTGTAACCAGTGTCACGTCTTTGATGACTAATTTGGCTAAAAAGAAATTATCACCACCAGAATTGTGATCTACACACATAACATTGTTTACACTTATCGACACATCATTACAGCTGTACAACAAGTCATTCGTGATTTCGAACAGTTCAGCAGAAGTGTTCCTGACTATAGCACTAAATGATGTAGGTCTCAGTTTCCTAGGGGGGTTAGTGGGTCGGTCAGTTTTCGACATAGAACTTAGCACATATGTACGGCAGTTCAAGTTGCCACACTCCATGTAGCACACAAAGCAAGAGAAGAAAGTAGGAGAAATGCATAACATAGACAGTAAACAGAGGTGTGAGACAAAGGTACAGTAATAACGAAGAACAAAACAGTTTCAATGGGTATTATAAGTCACAAGGAGTGCATGCATCTGCTCCCACCTATTGAGAACGATTTTGAGCCATGTCACCAATTGTTTCCAACTATTGGTTTCTACCGTCCCGAGGACCCCAACCAGGAAGTCTACACCTTCCTACGTGGCTTAGACTAACTTTAGACTAATTGTAGATTTCATTGACTGATGAAGCCATGTTTTCGTTTGACCGCCGCCAGCTCTTTTCCAGCCTAACCCTATGTCAGGTAACATTGCCCATCTAGGAAGGCGATGACTAGGCATTCGTAACACATGTCCCAACTATCTCAGTCGATGTAATTTCACAGCCTCGTCGATTGATTTCCCCGCCTCACCTAGCACTCGACCGATGCCTAACCTCAATATTGCTCACCTTATTATACCACTTCACACGGGAGATAGAATGCAGGCACCTATGATCAAAGACATCTAATCTTTTCATGTCTTCCACTCTCAATGGCCAGGTCTCACAGCAATAGAGGTGGACGAATGAAAAAATACTAATCTGTGATAATCAATGAATGTGAGAATAATGACTGTAAGAAATTAGGAATTCTTATCCAGTATGATTCATAAAAAAGCTTGTCTGACAAATCGATATGAATATAGTGATGACGTATGCACTATCAATATATCACATCCTCCGTGGTGATTTTTCAAGGATTTCACCAAATTTCACATATAGCTTATCTCACTGAGACGTTGTTCAGCTTTCCCCGTGTTGTCTGCATATTTCCTAATATCGTGTTGATCAAAGAGACTTTGATATTATTTCGAAAATGAAATCTTTTGTCTTGAGACATTCAGAAGAATGGTGCCAGATGGAAATCATCAAAGAAAGATAAGGAAACTGAGCAGTCGGACAAAAGAAGGCAAATTAGGGAATAAAAAAGTCAGAATTTGTGAAGAATTTTGTGAAATTATAAATGAATATATCTGTATTACATTCATATTTTTCGTTTCATACCACGAAGAATTCATCCGCATTATATATCAACAATTTGTGTTCCTTGAGCTGGATAGTTGACTTGTGAAGCTTTCATTGCATTAAACTAGACAACATCTTCACAGCATACTTCAATTTGAAGTGAACACTGAAATTTCTCCACGAGTTTATAAGTCATCTCTCCTGGTGACCTTGATCATGACTGGTTGTTTTTGTCTGTTTTCACAGACTCTGGTCTACTTGTATTCGTACTGATTGTTTCCTTGCGCATGAGATTTTCCTCTTGGAAAGCTCTTCAAACCTCTATGGATTGATGTTGCAAATAAACCAACAAAATCACTTCACTCAGTTCTTTGTCAACCAAAAGACCCAACAACAAAAGAAGATAAAAGCAACATCATCTACAAACAGAAAATTGCAACGACTAAGAAAAACACTGCATTGGTCAAAGTGAATGCCCTCTTCGTCTTCGAATCCATGAAAATAAACTAACCACCAAAAGATATAATAACCATTCCATCATATCGCTGCACACAGACAACCACGGATATCAGTTCGACTAGGACAACATTCAAGAATTCAGCAGAAGAATCACCAAGAATGCTACAGAAATTCTGGATGCCTAGTATTCCAGTGAATCGGCAATTAACAGGTAAATGGACATAGATAAAATTTACCAATCCATAAAATGATCTCATGCACAATAAGTCAAACTTCAGGTCAAGGAAACAATCAGTACGAATACAAGTAGACTAGAGTCTGTGAAAACAGACAAAAACAATCAGTCATGATCAAGGTCACCAGGAGAGATGACTTATAAACTCGTGGAGAAATTTCAGCGTTCACTTCAAATTGAAGTATGCTGTGAAGTTGTCTAGTGAAGCAATGAAATCTTCACAAGTCAATTATCCAGCTCAGAGAACACAACTACATGAAAATCATCCACCTGATCTACACATTTTCTCCATTATAACTATACATCTTTGTTTTATATTCAGAGCAAACACGTCAGCACGATGGTAGTCCTCTAAGATAGGTGTAAACAAAGCCTTAGATGAACCTTAAAATAAATTAATTTCAACATGAGTATCTACACTTAGGGATCAATGAATCAGTCCGAATAGACAGTGAAAACTAGTCAACTAACAGCGGTAAATGACACCTCATTCGGTGAAGTAAACTGGAGTGTCAGAATAAAATAATTCCTAGAGTTAGGAAGTTTTCAACAATCGAATAAAAGATCAACTTCAGAACTTTATTCAACCAATAATAACAGTCATTTCAAAGCTTATAATCTCAATAAAATGAAAATCAAATCTCAAAGGTGTGATATAGGGATTCTTCAATCACTTACATACTTGTAATCATTTCATCGGAAAAGTAACTAATACAAATGGTAATCATTCAAACTGTTGAATTTGAAATCGATTTTAGACGTTGATAGAAATGTTACTTGGAATTACAAGAACACCATGATAATTTCATCTCAGTAATTAAAAATTTGCGTTTGTATAATTAATGTGAACTTTGAAGAGAATCTAATCGAAAGCACGTGTTCATTTATGTGACTAATTCTTAATTCAACTGTGAGAATGTTTAGCAGTATAAGTATCATTCAACTATACTCAACGTACGATCAATAGATTTAGAATTGGGTAAAGTAAACACATGTAAATATTCAACAAACAATTAGATTAACTTTCATTTTTGTTTATTCTAAAGTTTAGTACGCGTCGGTGGCATAGCGGTTAGAACGCTCGCCGACCATGCACATGGTCCGGGGTTCGATCCCCGGCCACAGACGCACTCCTTTACCTCCCTAAGCCAGAAATAATGCTGGTGAAGAAGAAAGGTTGGGCATGAGGCTAGCAACCCCATCCTGTAAAATAAACACTGTTACAGAAACTTCAAGTCACTAGCTTGAAGCCCTATGTTCCACTTGGGAACGTGAAGAGTAAAGAAAAAAAAGTTTAGTACAAAATGATAACTCCACAAATGAAATATTCTCTATAGATTTCTGTTATTTCGAAATATACTCATGTTTCTGTGCATGTATCTCTTTCAAATTTGATTTTCTTCTTTTTTTCTTTAATTTTTCAGTAATTTTACAAAAGCAAACATGTTCCACATTGTCAAAAACATGTTCACCTCATTCTGATTGCTTTGAAACACCTGATGGAGCATATTGTTCATGTAAACCTATGTGGACAGATTTAAATCCAAGACAACCTGGAATACAATGTGTTTGTAAGTCTTCATTTCACAGTGATAATATTCTTTTGGCTTTCATTAAAGTTACTACAATCGTCCTAGTTAGCTAAGAGCAGTAGCACTGAATAATATGACTTTAATTTCAAATTGACAGTTATTAGTTAGATTGGTTGAAGGATTTCATCAGCAGCTGACGTTAGTTAGAGAATCATTGGAAAACCACCCGGGATTATTGGACAGCCGTTCCATCAGCCTAGTTTGGGACTCTTCAGCAGTACGCACCCACCACAGGGGTTCGAACACAGGACCTTCTGGTTACAAAGTGAGCTCGGAGACCATGAAGCCACTGGGAGCTGATCCAATGGTCCATGAATTATAACTTCTGCCAATTCATGACAGTTTTTAGTTAGTCGAATTAAGGTGAATTGGATAAAGGATATACACGCAGGCATATTTTACACATTCACAAATAAAATCACTTGTAAGGTATAAATTTAGTAAAAATATTGATGTTACAATTTGGTGAATTCCCATATTCATTAGTTTACCAATCTAATGTGTATAACAAGTCGCGGGAATACATAATTCCAATTAGATTCATAAAATGTAACCTTCATAAAAATTTATATAGCAACTGACATTGGAATAATATAATCAGGTTGATCTATGCTTTTTATGAAACCTTCATCATATTTCCTTTTCGTGTTGAACTTCTTAACATGATATTTACTCCTGATGACAATAGCTATGGAACTTTAACATGAAATTTGTAGTGACTGTCAGTGAAATCAATCTTTAGAAAAAAACAACTGAGTCTCTGAACTCATCAAGATGAGTATAACTGTGGGAATATTTAACGATGAATCAGTGATCAGGATAGTTCAAGAAACATAGCATCAGTGATGTGTACAAATGCTCCCTGATGAAAAAAAGTAGTAAATTAAAAGAAGTTGAAAATCATGAACCGTTTGTGGGATTGTTATAGATACATTGTCTGATCAATGAAGAGTAACCAATGCTATGCGTTTAGCCTTTAGTAATAGTATTGACTGAATTCAATTAATCAAGCTTGCGATTCGGTCACCCATATGGGTGAATCTCCATCTCTGTGCCTTTTTAAATTGAGGTTACGTGACTTGGGACCATTGACAGGAATCTCTGAATCTAGGCTTTGTGTTTATTCACACTCGTCAGCAAGCCATATATGCGAACTCGAGGGAGCAGGGGATTTCTTGAAGATTATAACCCTAGGTAATGCAATCTCCGTGAGTCGGTGGCATAGCGGTTAGGATGCTCGCCCACCATGCGCATGATCCGGGGTTCGATTCCGGGCCGACGCACACCTTTACCTCGTTAAGCCAGAAATAATGCTGGTGAAGAGGAAAGGTTGGGCATGAGGTTGGCTAGCAACCCCATCCTGTAAAATAAACACTGCTACAGAAACTTGAAGTCACTAGCTTGAAGCTCTATGTTCCACTGGGGAACGTAGAGAAAAAAATGCAATCCTCAGGTGAGAAACTTCACCACTCAAATGTTTATTCACAAGATGATATTCATAAGATGAAATCATATACCACTACATTCACAAAGGTTCGGTGAGTCTTCACACACTGATCTTCACCTGGTAACACAAATATCCTAAGTTGTGCTTATTTGTTTGAACTTCTAAAGAGTTTTAAGTCAATATGCAACATATTCTGCATATCAGTTAGCAATTTATGGACACAACATCGATTCTGATATGAGAAGTAATCTACTACAAAGTAAGGTAAATCCCCAAAACCATTCACATTACCTTACGTATGTTTATTTGCATGAATTAATATGTATATTAGTAATAGTACAATCAAATAATCTGTAAAAATTTTACTTTTATTTTATCTTTTAGTAAGTCCAGCTGCAATAGCACTTATCGTATTAGCAGCAATTATTCTTGTGATTATCATTACTTTGACAATCTACTTCGTTTTGCGATCAACACCAAGTGGTGAACGTTTTATGTACTCATTTGTTTAGAGCAAAAGAGACTCATTGAAATTATTGATGAAAATGCCAACAAACAAACACAGATAATCAATGTATACTTTTCATTTAATGCCATAGTATTTTGCTGTGCTTGTCCTAACTTGGCTATTTTGCATTCTAAAAAGTCTAACAGGATTTTTTCCTTTGTTAAGTTTTTGATGCCGACGATATATTTCAATACACCGTATTGTAAACGCGTTTTTTTCAACTGTGATTTCTTTCGATAATTATTTGTATATTGTGATTATTACTTTCAAAAATTTTGTTACCGCAAAAAATTTATGAAATGATATTGGCTACTTTTCAATGTATTTAGTAGTATGAATGATAAAACGTTTTTTATTCTGTATTTTAACCTTTTAGAAATCTTCAGAAATTTATTTGTATTATACTTAAATTCTTGTTATGATCCAAATATATATATAAACTACTGAAGTAACTATAGTCTTCTCATCTTTCCTGATCACACTTATATGAATTCTATCAGTCACACCTGGGACATGATAGTGCGTCGGTGGCACAGCGGTTAGGACGCTTGCTGACCATACACATGGGCCGGGGTTCGATCACCGGCCGACGCACACCTGATATCAATAGTCAGCATGCTAAATTCGCTCTACCGATATCACGCGATGAAAATTCCATACTTGTACCAAAATACTGTGTGGAATCAAGCTATAATAAAACTTTTTTAAATAAAAATAAAATAAGTAAATATCATCAGTATTTAGAAGCAAAATTAATCAAATTTTAGCCTAACTACGTGTGTTTGCATGATATTGATCAAACACTGCTTTATTCGTGTTGTGTGCACCTCTTTTTTGTGCTGTTGTATTCATGTTAAGATGGTTAATCATTGTCATTTACTGTGAAAAGGATCAGTGTATCTGGTTGTTGGTTATGAATCTACTTGACCCGTTTTTGATAAATAACTGATTTTGATTATGAGCTGACATTAGTTAGAGAACCATTGGAAAACCTGGGAGTACTGGACAGCTGTTTCGTCCTAGTTTGGGACTCTTCAGCAACTAATATCAGCTCATAATGAAAATCCTGTAACCAATCGAATCCCTACAAACCAACACTTGAATATCAATTAGATGCTCACTAGCGACTTGCCCTATTCAGGTAGATAGTTACCTGGAGTTCTAGTGGAAAGTCGTGACTAGTAGGGTGCAGCAGGTCGGGTGTGAGGACAAATACTCGCTGAAGGCATTGGCTAGCGGTTGCGCTATATCGTGAATTGGCAGAAGTTAGAATTCTTAGGCCATTTGATCGGGTCCCAGTGGCTTAATAGTCTACGAGCTCGGTGGCCTTGTAACCAGAAGGTCGTGGGTTCGATCCCTCGTGGTGGGTGCGTACTGATGAAGAGTCGCAGACTAGGCTGACGAAACAGCTGTCCAGTACTCCCAGGTTTTCCAAAGGTTCTCTAACTGGCGTCAGCTCATAATGAAAATCCTGTAATCAATCTATTCCTAAAAACCAACACTTGAAATCTGATTTTGAATTTATCACGCACACACACACAAACACACACATTGGAATTTTGTTTTAAGGCCTGTGAAATGAGTTATGTTTGAGAAAGAAACCAGCATAAATGTTGTCAAAATTTGAAAAGAAAAAGCACAACATATAGTTCAAATATAGCTCCTGACTAGCTTACGTTGATTATGTTATCTTTCAATGTATTGATATCATTTTGTGATGAACAATCGCTACTGCTTTTATCTGAACAATGATAATGACTCGGTTCAATTCATATTCAGCCGCTGTTTCTAAAGTCACATTATCATTGCCAGCGTAGTATAGTTGAGTATATTTGCAGACATTACCGTTCATTTCAGTTAAGTCTCCGTAATGGATAAGATTTTATTTTGATAAATCACACAGTGTTGTACAGTTAAATTAACTGATGACATTTCGACCACAATTTATTGCTCATAATCATATCAAGGTAATCACACAACTTCCTAAATTCATTTATATAACTCTGTTGTTTTTCACTTGATTTTCAGTTGATTTGATTGATAGTAATATTTTCCATATTTCGGGTATGAGTGATGATTCATTCCTATTGCATGTGTTGGGTGTAGATTCGATGAACCAGGATTCAGCAATCAACCTCTCTCTCCACCTACCTAGATTACTTTTTAGAATTTTAACCCTCTCCCACCCTATTGTGTGGTTGTGTGTTAATGCATGCATTGCAATTGCCGAGCTTTTTTTCTAAATTACTTATCTTCTCGGGGTCAACCATTCTTACCTTAGATAAATTCTTATGTTCTGACAATCTGACTACCCCTAACCTACTAGTTTGACCTATGTAGTTGACCTCACTAACAGTCATTGCAGGGTATTTTGTAAATTATATTATTTTGTCTGATCGAGTCAACCGACAGGGTGCTTAAACCTACAGAGCTTGTCCTTGAATGAGTTTGTAGGTTTAAATGCGTCGGTGGCACAGTGGTTAGAACTCTCGCCGACCATGCACATGGTCTGGGGTTCGATCCCCTGCCGGCGCACACGCGATATCTATGGTCGGCCTGAATTTGGGCTACCGATATCCATGCTGAAAATTCCATACTTGTACTGAAAATACGGTGTGGAATCAAGCTGTAAATAAAAATAAAAAAATAAAAAAATTCCTGTTTTATTTGGAATCCTACGTAGGGTCTCAAATGTCCCCTCTTTATATGGTATAACAGTGGATAACTTATATTCTCTCTTATTTATGTTATTATTACTAGTTTCACAATTCTTTTTATTTTTCTTGTGGCGTTTTTTCAATCTTCCTAATGAATTTTAGAGGATAGTTACTTAGAACCAACGCCTCTTCTATCTGTTTTATTTCATCATTTAGGTCTTTTTTTGTGCTACTTAGTGCCATTGCTCGGTTTGTTAAACACTTAATTAAGCCTGCCTTAACAGTTAAAGGATGAGAAATGAATTTAGGATATTTAGTTAATTTTTCAGTGTACTGCTCAGCAGGAGACCCAACCTTTTAATGAATCAATAGAAGGTGATGAAGTATATCTTCATCAATCTTTACAAAAGCCATTGTGGTAACTCCATAATATTCTGAAACTCCTGGCAGCAGGTGGTGCTCTTCATTTTTACGGTTATAACTTACAACAACTCTTAAATCCTTATACTGTTTTAACTGGTGGTAGAGTAAAACCATTTATCAAATAATCAGATAGATTTATGTGACCAAGCTTATGTGAGTTCATAATTTGTACGGCTGAAGTCCATCTGGCCTGCTACACTCTTACGTAAGTTGAGATTTAAAACACTTTTAAACTGAATTTTCTTTTCTACTTGTAACGATATTAAAATTTTAAATTACGTTCCACAACGGCTACTACATCTTCGTCATAACCTGCAGACTATAAGTGCTTAAAGTAGCATAGTGGAGCTTAAGCCATGATCATGTTACCTTCAGTCTTATTTATACAGTCTTTCTAAAAATAAGAGTAAAAATAACCTCACTTCTCCTAGTTTTACTTTTAGCATGCGCTAAAAGCTTTTCGAGTGAGTTATATGAATTTCTCACCACCCGAATTTCACATACTGTTGCAGGTCATGAATTCAGAGCCTTGCATTGGTTTCTAGTAAACTTTTGTAACCCATTTGACACAGTGAGGTTCCATAGTCTCTCATTACGACAGAAACGGTTTTTACCTTTCTATTTTTCCAAGGAAGAAGACTCTCGGCTTGACCACAAAATCAATCAAGCGGTAAATTCATATGTGGCCATTTCAAATGTATCCTAAAATTTGGTCTTTTCGTCATCAGTAGGTCACTAAGCAATAACTGACCAACCTATATACATATATATACATCAAGTTACTGCCTATGTGGATATAGTTCTGATAAGACACATTACAAATGGCGAAAATATTACTGCGAAGTAGAATAACGCATTTCATCTCACCGTTCCTCTTCAGCTGCATACAGTGAAAGATCTCTGTATGATTAATCTACGGTAGAATTTTGATACATTTGAATTCAACTGATATGGACATCTTCAGAACAATAAAGAGTAACGAAATATTACAGCTGTGAAGTTGAGCAAATTTTGGAAGAGAATAAAATTTAGTACACCGTTGGGGCAGTTTATTAGAAAACAAATAGCAGTGAAATAAAGTTAATAAAACTTTGAAATATCAAAACTTCAGTTTAGCATACACTGAAAACCTGGAGAAATACCATAAGCCCAGACACTAGTGGGCTACCCTGGCCTGTTGTGGAATCTGTCAATTCACAATACTGTACTATGCTATACATTTTGAGTATTTCACATTCGTCTTGTTTGTATGAATTCCTCATATCCTTTATTTAGGGTTACACTTGATGTTTAGTTATTCATTTACACACTGACACAAACACGTAAACTCCTACCTCATTTTTCCAGTTTCACCACGGATTGACGGATCAACTACAGAACTATTGAGAATCAGAGAGTATTGGACAGCTGTTTCATCCTAGTTTGGGACTCATTGGCAGTGCGCATTCCCTGAAGCTACAGCCCAGGACTTTTCATTTACAAGTAAAGCTCGCAGAGCATTCAGCTACTGGGATTCGACTCAATGACCAGCTCATGAATTCTGACTTCTACAAATTCATGAATTTAGCGCGACTACCAGCCTCTATTTTTCTCCTTAATTTTGGTATTATTATTCGTTCATATGAAGTTGATAAGTGAATTGAATATAATTCAATGTCAACAATAATGATGGGCATTCATGATCATATAGTCGTTGTTATTCCTGGAAAATTTGATATTCGATTTAGTATTATATTTATTGCATATTATCACATGCATATGTTTCGAACTATAATCTGTTAAGGCATCCATCCACACACGTGACATCTAATTGGACCTCACTGGTCACGACTTCTCACTAGAACTCCAGGAAACTCCATCCTGTAGCAAGTCACTAGCGAGCATCAGATTAATTTTCTATAATTTGGTTTGTAAGGGTTAGTTATGTTTTACGAGTTCATCACGGACTGATATCAATTAGGGAACCATTGAAAACCGGGGAGTACTGGATAGCTGCTGTTTCATTCTAGTTTGGGAATCATCAGCAGTACCCACCAACGACAATGGTTGGGGTCGCGCTAAATCACGAATGGGTAGAAGTTAGAATTCATGAGCCAT